GCGCAGCAGGAACTCGAAAGAGAACCAGGCCACGCACACCGTCTCCAGCACGAACAGGTTGCGGCACTTGGGGGAGCACTCGCCCTGCGGGGAGAGGGGGTACACGTGTTGGGGGCAGGGTGGCCTGCTTCCTGGGTTCCCCAGGGAAGGATGTCACTCCCGGGCTACCCTTCCTCCCGACGCCCACCCAGGCACGTGTGCCCCTGCAGGGGCAAGGGTTGTAGCCAAAAAAGCCCAATTCCTGGTTTGAAAAAAAAAAGATTTACCCCGAGCTCGGCTTCCAGCATGAGAGCAGAAGCTCAGCTGACCTGCTTCCCAACAAAACCGGAGAAAATCGTTAAAAAGCAACCACGTAAAGTCTCTGGAAACGGTCCTAGGACAACAGCAAATGAAAGGCCTATTCAAGGAAATCTACGGAAATTTCGTTTAAAAAGGAGCGTCTTTGATATGTGAACCCAAACTCCTCCCCTTTCCCCAGCCTCCCGCTCAGTGAGGAGGGGGCTCCACCCCAGAGGCTGCAGCTGAGAGCTAGGGGCTCCCGCCCGCCCCCTCCAAGTGGGCTGAGTCCCAGGGGGTGTGGCTGAGAAAGGTGGGTGTGGTCAGGGAAAGAGACCAAAGTCCCACCAGAACCAGTGACCTCCTGGGGTGACTGGGCGCCCAAGCTGTGCATCCCGGAGGAGTGACAGCTAGGGCTGAACACAGTGTGTGGGTGTTTGTGCAGCGGTGTGTGGGTGTTTGGGTGTGCAGGGGTGTGTGTGTTGGTGTGTATGGGGAGTGTGTAGGTATGTGGTGTGTGTGTGTGGCAGGGGCAGGGGCAAGAATAAACGTCACTAAAATAATCCAACCAGTCACTAAACCAACAAGGCAATGGCAGGAACAGGCCCTGAGGGGGGCGGGCAGGAGAGGGCAGTATCGTATCCAGTGTCCTAAACTGTCGCATCTGAAATGTCCACTTTCCAATAAAAAGTCATAGGGCAGGAAAAGAAACAGTAAAGTTAGCCTGGTACATCAGGGAAAAAAATCAAGCAACAGAAACGGTCTATGTGAGTGACCAGATGTGAGATTTAACAAAAATTTCAAAACAGCCATTATCAGTATGTTCACAGAACTAAGGAAGCTGATTCAAGAAGTGGTGGACAGCATGGTGACAGTCCAGTGCAGCAGATGGAGAAAAATCAATCAAGGAAAATTTTAAAAGAACCAAATGGAAAGTCTGAAGTTGAAAAGTACAAAAGCCAAAACCTCACTAGAGGAGCTCAGCAGTTGTTGCGAACCATCCGGAGACAGAACCAGTGAGCCTGCCGGCGGGTGGGCGGAGGGCACGGAGGCTGAGAACAGAGAGGAGGAGCCGGGGCCCCACTGAGCGGGCAGGCGCTCGTGGTCAGCAAGTGTCAGCAGGAGAGGGGAGAGAAGAAAGGAGATGGGCCTGGAGAAACAGTGGCGGGAAACTTCCCAAACCTACTGAAAACCGTGTACATCCCAGAGCTCGATGAACTCCAGGCAGATAAACATAGAGAGATCAGAGAGACACACCCAGGAGGTGCTGAATGCAAAGACAGGGAGAGAGTCTTGAAAGAGAGGCCCCCAGAGAGACTGACGCGCCAGCATCTCAGCCAGAACGCAGCGGGGCAACGCCTTCAAGGCGCCTGGGAAACGCGTGCCTGGCCGGGAACCCCACCCCAGCCAAGCTGTCATTAAAAGTCAGCATGACATGAGGACTTTCCCAGGTAAACAAAGGCTGAGAATCCCTTTCTGGTAGAGCTGCCTTATGAAAAGTTCTAAAGGAAGCTCTTTAGGCTGGAAGGAAGTGATTCCACAATCTCTATGACCTTGGATTTGGCAGAGCCTTCTCAGATCTGATACCAAAGGCACAAGCAAACAAGATAAATTAGGCAAATTAAACCTAATCACATCTAAAACTTGAAACTTACATGCTTCAAAGGACACTGTTATGGCCTGAACTTCTCTTCAAAATTCAAACGTTCCCCGATTCCCAGCACCTCAGGTGACTGTATTTGGAGACGGGGTCTCTAGAGAGGTAAGAAGTTACAGTGAAGTCACGTGGGTGGACCCTAATCCAACCAGACTTGTGTCCTTATAAGAAGAGGGGGTTAATGTGCACACACAGGTAGGTCCACGGGAGGACACGGGGAGAAGACCACTGTCCTCAGGAGAAACCAACCTGCCAACACGTGGATCTCAGCCTTCAGCCTCTGGAACCGTGAGAAAACAAATTTCTGTTGTTTACGTCACATAATCTGTGGTTTTTCGTTCTGGCAGCCCTAGCTGACTGACCCAGAGCATCTGGAAAGTGAAGGGCAGTCCACAGCATGGAAGGGTATATATGCAAATCACGTGTCTGATGAGGGACTTGGGTCTAGCATGTATAAACTCAACGATGGAAGAGACAACCCAGGGAACAAATGTGCAGGGGATCTGAACAGACATTTCTCTGAAGAAGATACATGAATGGCCAAGAAGCACATGAAAAGGAGACCCACACCATGAACCACCGGGGAAGGGAGATTAAAAGCACTTGAGGATCCCACCTCACAGCCACCAGGACGGCCAAGAGGAGGCAGTCGGGTGACAACAGGGTGGAGAGGGTGCGGAGAAAACAGAGCCCTGTGCCCTGCTGATGCGGGCAGGAGTCCAGTCACTGGGGAAGGGAGTCCAACTGTTCCTCAGATGACTAAACACCGAGCGACCCCATGACCCAGCGAGTCCCCTCCCAGGTGTGTGTCCGGAGCAGTGAACACATGTGTGCACAGAGAGGCCTGTACACAAATGTTCATGGCAGCCTGACCCACAGCAGCCAAAAAGTGGAGACCAGCCACATGTCCATCGCTGGTTAATGGATAAACCAGACTTGGTGGATCCGCACGGTGGAACTTTACTGGGAAGGAGTGAGTGCTGATTCCCGCTACAGCGTGGATGGACCTTGGAGAGAATCCAGTCACACGGGACACGTGCTGGATGATCCCAGCCCACTGATCCAGAACAAGGGAGTGTACAGACAACGTGGACACAGGTTGCTCCAGGTTGGCGGCAAGAGGGAGGGGCCAGGGGTATGAGTGCTGAGGGCACAGGTCTCTTCTGGGTGATGGAAATGCTCTAAAATCAGACTGTGGTGATGGTTGCACAGCCCTGTAAAAGTACTAAAAACCACTGAATTGTCTGCCCTCAGTGGGCAAATTGCATGGTATGTGAATTATATATCAATAAAGCTGTTTTTTTTTTAAAAAAGACTTATTAATTAATCCCAGAGTGTGTGGCTGGCTGGGTGTAGGAGAGTGTGGATATAACCCGCCAGGGCCACAGAAGGACTCCCTGTGCAGGGGAGTCCAGAGGTATCTGCTGACGGAACTGAAGACATAGAGCCTGCAGACCACCCCATGCTGCCCAGAGGCGGGCCCTGCCTGGCCATGTCTCACCTCTGACCTTGAGACCCCGCCAACCCAAATGCTGTGCCTAGGTGACCCCTGTCACTGTTGAGGGCCTGGAGGAAAGGTCGGGAGACCCTCAGACTCAGCAGACGCCTCCCATGCTCTTTGCTCTGTGTTATGGGCCAAGCTCACGCTGGAGGTGCGAGGACCTGGGGCCAGGCCCGCTCAGCCCCCAGGGAGCCTTGCACTGTCCCCCCCAACCCCAGGTCGTGTACCTCCGAGCCCCGCCCAGCCAGAGTGTGAGCTTCCATCACTGCAGACGGCAGCTGAGGACCCGCCTGCTGGCTCCCCCATGGTGGGTCACGGTTCTGCAGACATTGTGGCGCCAGCTTTGGTGCTCTAGGGGCATGGAGTGAGTGGGACCCTTCAGGGCTGCCTCCTGAGCCAGGCACCAGTTCATCGATGGTCTACAAGGGAGCTGGGGTCCCCCGCGGACCTTGGCCCTGCACACGTGCTGCCCCGGCAACTCGTGCGTGTGGAGCGGAGCCAGCCAGCACTCCTGTTCCAGAGGCTTTGGAACCACGCCGGCATCTCTGCTCTCATCACCCTCCCCGTCCTGTGTCTGGAGACACTGGCCACGTGCTGACTTCCCCACATGGCCCTGGACACAAGGGTGGGCCCTAGGTGGGTCATAGCTTTGGGATAAATCCCTGGACGCAACTGGGCAGGTCTGTCCTCAAACAGATGGTGGCAGCTTGCGCCCGGATGAAGGGCCCCCACCCCATCTGGGTCTCAGACCCTCTTATGGGGGCTGCTAGTGGAAAAGCTGAGTTCCCTCCTGAGCCTCACGGGGCTGGGGGGAGCTCCGAGCCCTGAGGGTGAGCCTGGGGGCTGCCCCTGTGTCGGGCTCAGGGAGGCTGGAGCACCGCCCCGGCAGCGCTGACACCTGGGAACGAAGCCTGGACGGGAACCAGCAGGGACTTCCTGCTAGGCCTGGGGCCTCAGGACACAGCAGCTCCAGCCTCACGGAACCAGCAGGAAAACTGGATTCAGGCACCAAGAGGCAGCTGCGGCCTTGGGACACGGTTAGAAAGCCCCGGCAGGAGGAAGGGCTCAGGAGGGGACCGGCCACACTGGGGGATGGAAGGTGGTGGGGTGGAGGAGGGGTGGAGTAAGCTGCAGCCCCACCTGCCTCACCTGCTCAGCCCAAGGGACACAGCCCCAGAGACACCTGACATGACACCCCCTGGTCTGGGTAACCTCAGGCTCCTGTTCCACAGCATCTCAGCAGGCAGGCAGCTCTCGGCCAAGTGTAGCTGGAAGCCCCATCCAGGAGGCTGCAGCCACCACTGTGCAGGAAGAGGAGAGATGCAGACTCTGGGGGCGGCCAGGGAAGGTGGCCCCTCACCCCGAGCACAAAGAGTGGGCCCTGTGTGCCCACCCAGAGACAGACTGGTCCCTGAGTGCTGTGAGCCACCCCCCAACCCGCATGCTTAAGGACCAGCCACACAGGGAAACTGGAGGGAGCTATTTCTGGAACTTTTAACCCAGAAAATGACCCTCACTTATCATAATTTGACACATCGAGCCTATTTGGCCAAAACCGGGTCAGTGGCAGATCTACGTTCCGCTGGTTCATCGGGTGTGAAGGGCTCCCTGTGCCTGGCTTTCCGCTGCCAGCTGGGCCCCCCGTAACCA